ACTTCAATTTGCGTTAAACAAAATTAAGAAGAATAGCTGTCCCTTTTTAGTGCCCGGCATGGCCAGGTGGCTAGGGCGCTCAACTTGCAATCTGTGGGTCACGCCATGATAAACCTAACCCCGCATATACTCGATAATAATGTTGTTGTTCTTCAAATACTCCAGAATACTGGCAACAACGCCGTGATAAACTTAACCCCTCATATACTCGATAATAATGTTGTTGTACTTCAAATACTCCAGAATACTGGCAACAACGCCGTGATAAACTTAACCCTCCATATACTCGATAATAATGTTGTTGTACTTCAAATACTCCAGAATGTTATGTGCAATTTGATCACCACATGTTCGCTCAAGATAAATTAATTTAAAAAAAAACGTTTCTTGACGATAGCTGGAGCTTTTACCGTATCAAAACTCGTTGAGAGTACCTACTGACTGGAGATCTTATCTGTAATTTCGTCTGCTATCAGCGAGTAATATCCTTTACCCTCTAATCCTTTGGTAATATGTTGAAGAATGCAGCCAGCTACTGCTTGAAATATTACATTCTACACGATCTCTCTCGTATATACTGTATAGCATTTCTTTTGGGAGTTTTTAAGTGTTCCGCCAGTTGTGTGTAAGAATTCGATAGGAGTTCCACAAGTGAGGGAAAGTTGTCCTTATTTGAAAACAAACTGGTAGAGTCGTCGCTATGACACGCAGATTTATGTTCTGTTTCCCATAAAACAACAGAGTGTCGACAGTTTTTTGAGGTTACATTTATATCTTACAACTCATAGTATTGTTTGCTGTTTGCATGTCCGGTGCTCTTGTTTTTGGATTGCTAATAATAGGTGATACTAAATCCATCTACTCACTAGCATTAATAACTCATACTAATCCACTTAACTACAAGAATTGATAATTGACACTAAATCCACTATATATATAAGTTATTAAATTTGTTGTTACAATATTTGTGCTCAAATCTGGGATTTGAAATTAGTAAATAAGATGTGTGTGTGTATTATATGTGCATACATATACACATGTGTATGCGTGTTTGTGATAGTTGAATGTAAATAATGACTTATAGTCGTTCTAATTTCATAGAAGCTCATGCTTATGAAAACTATATAATGATTATTGAGAAAACATCATGTTTCCAATGGTTATATATTAAAAACTATACATCCTATGGAAATTAAGTTTCACCACAGGCACATCGAGAATTGGTAAGTTTTATTTATATTCACCCCATATAATAACATAGAGATTACACAACAACGTGTGGACAGATACAACACGTTGCCAAGAGTTAGAAAAGGAGAACCCATAGAGAAGCTGTGAGTCACAGTTGTGATAAATTAATCCCTGACGTCAGAGGTTGAACTTACCACCGAAATGTGCCTGAGAAACAACTTCCTCGGTAAACGACTTGCATGACGTCACAGCGCTATAAACGAAACTGTGACAAAATAAGGAAAACATCTCAGAGCAATTGCCCTCACACTATTGTTAGTAATAAAATGTCTGTTAAGAACTATCTTATTTCTCTGATAGCTTCTAAATGTTGATGATAACTTTCTGTTTCAGGTTTTTCTCAGGTATGTGATAACATTCGCATGTTGCGTATTAATGATCATTTTTTCGTGATCACTGATAACTATCTTTTTTTATCATATTTACATGCTGTTGATAATGAATGGTTGGTTATGTTAATCAGAGAGAGTGACAATGGCAGATGTGGTGGCTAGACCCCAACAAAGCGAACAATGTGCGATTAACAGCAATTCAACAGCATGAACAAGATACGTGTGAATAACTATCATCTCAACAGAGTAAACATGGTGCGCGTGATGACTAGCTAAACCCCAACAAACTGAACAATGTGTGATTAACAACAATTCAACAGCATGAACAAGGTACGTGTGAATAACTATCATCTCAATAGAGTAAACATGGTGCGCGTGATGACTAGCTAGACCCCAACAAAGTGAACAATGTGCGATTAACAACAATTCAACAGCATGAACAAGATACGTGTGAATAACTATCATCTCAATAGAGTAAACATGGTGCGCGTGATGACTAGCTAGACTCCAATAAAGTGAACAATGTGTGATTAACAACAATTCAACAGCATGAACAATGTGTGATTAACAACAATTCAACAGCATGAACAAGATACGTGTGAATAACTATCATCTCAACAGAGTAAACATGGTGCGCGTGATGACTAGCTAGACTCCAATAAAGTGAACAATGTGTGATTAACAACAATTCAACAGCATGAACAACATACGTGTGAATAACTATCATCTCAACAGAGTAAACATGGTGCGCGTCATGACTAGCTAGACCCCAATAAATCGAGCAATGTGCGATAAACAACGTATGATTTGTGTGTGTGCGTGTTGTATTTTTTATAGCCAAGTCACATTGGGCTATCTGCTGTGTCCACTGAGGGGAATCGAACCCATGATTTTAGCGTTTTAAATCCGTAGACTTACCTCTGTCCCACCGGGGAATGTATATGATTTAAACAAACCACTCTAGCACGGTCAACACTGTATGAATAATTACTCAGTATGAATTATTACTTTGTATTGCATTTTTGTTAGAATAAGTGGTGTTTCTTGGTGGGTCATTGGTAAACTTACGGATTTAAAACGCAAAATCCGGGGTTCGATTGTTGCGAAGGCCACGACATATAGCCCAAATGTAGTTTTGCACTAAAAAAACAAACAAGAATGAATGGTTTATAACCGGCAAGTCACTGTATCCACTTTAGAAAATGTATAACATTAAGTACGACTGATAAAATTCGACTTCAGTTTTACGACATATATCTGATTAACCAATAAATCTAGCCCAAGGTGCACGATTTATTATTAGTTCAATCTGTCTAACAAAATTCAAACAGCACAAGTGTTTACAGGTTTAATATTCGTGATAAAAATTAAGCTAAACTGCATGACTTTCTTCTTTTTTTTTTGTTTTGTTATGCTACGTTCCTTTTAAAGAAATGAAAAACTCTTTTAAATACCTTCGGTTTGAAATCCGTAATGGCCTAATTAACGGACTGAACGTGCAAGGGGTCGATCCATTGGATCGTATTAGAGAAGTCATGTTGACCATAATTTCGAATTTATGAAGTGTTTGGTTTGTTTTGAATTTCGCACAGAGCATAAGTTAGCAGTGAAAGACTAGAGGGAAGGCAGCTAGTCATCACTACCCACCGCCAACTCTTAGGCTACTCTTTTGCCAACGAGTAATGGGATTGACCGTCACATTATAACGCCCCCCACAGCTGAAAGGGGCGAGCATGTTTGGGGGGAGCCCGCGACCCTTAGATTGCGAATCAAGCGCCTTAACCACCTGGCCATGTTTTTGTTCTAAAGATATGTCTGTGAAATACAGTAGTCAGTCTGATTCAGACTCTGACAAATAGAAGTGCACGGTGACGTTCATGTGAAAAATAACTCTTCTTTTGTCCATCGTACAGTTTGCACATTGCATTTAGATGACCTCTACAACCTTCTAAATGCATATCTACAGGTGTTGTTTTTATCAGTATCCCTTCATACTGTATCTAGTATTTCCTTTATTTTAACATGAACTGTTGCGATATAAGCAATGTATGGTAACATGAAAAGCTGATAATTCTGATATCAAATGCATAATACCATGTTGAATGGCACTCTGTACAAGATTTTGACTCCCACCCGTGCTCATAGGGTTAATTCGTCGCCACAGTTGGACGTGATGTCAGCCATAATCGTATATATTTTCATCCAGTTCTCGAGTATGATGATACTAACCCGGCTTTGTTTTGTGATACTATACGACTACGTAGTAACGTGATTACAGAAGACTTATCGATTTCAGTAGCTAGTATACTTTCCTAGTAAAGCTCAAATCCAATAAAGTTACTGAAATTTAGAGATTCACTCTAATGTTTTGTTTGTTTGTTTGTAATTAAGCACAAAGCTACACAGTGGGCTATCGGTGCTCTGCCCTCCACGGGTATCGAAACCCAGATTTTAGCGTTGTAAGTCCGCAGACATGCCGCTGTGCCACTGGGGGGAGGGGGGGCTCACTGAAATGAAGTGAAACAAATAAACTAACAAACAATACAGCATCTGTCCAGAGAGTGTTTTAACGTCGGAATATCTACAGTAAACAAAGCTATACGTAATGAAGTTAAAATAAAAGATGAAACATTTGTATTTCGGGTAAGCTAAAATGAACATAAATATCTTTTTAAAATATCAATCATTAATTATTATTATTATTAAATATTTCACCACGTACGTTTACTACCTTACTAGATGGTCATCCTATATTAATACAAATTGTTTGTGTGTTTGTCCGCAAACTCCTCCCACGATTTTGGAGCTAGCAAGACCAAACTTTGGAGGCGGACTCCGGGAGTGTCTTTATCTATGTGGCGTAGCCCTCCTGCCAAGGGGGGCTGAATTCACTATCCAAAAGTTGGTTTGATTCACTGCCAGAAAAAGTTATGTGATTTGTCATTCAGAAGAAAATAGTCTGATTCACTGCTCTTAAAAAACGAATTAAATAACTCCCCAATAAACAAGTTTATTCAACGCCCAAAACTGGTTTGATTCACTCTTAAAAAAAAAAAGGGGGTTTGGTACATCATCCAAAAAATGATTTGATTCATTGATCAAAAATATTCATGATCAGAGTTATTGGGGATAATGCAAGTATCAAATGAAAGCCTTTGGTTTCGTAATTTATATTATAAAGACGGATTTATGAATCCCGTTTATTGGCATTTTATTGTTTTTATACTATAAATAAAACAGTAAGTAAATTCATAAGCACGAAACATCAAGAATGACTGGACTAAATATCACTGAGATTGTAAACATATTTCTCGTCCAAAACAGTTTACATTTGGGTTTAAATCTCATGTTCGCTCACAAAAATACTAAAAACCTCCCGCAGGATTTCGAATAAATAAAAACACTTTAAAAACTGACCTGTTTTAGTTACAGCGTTGAAGTTCGATAAAGCAGCTCCCCCTGTTCCCCGTTCAGTCGACACTACTAACTACACAATTCTGTACCTCTTAGATATACATTTTCACATCGCAGGGTCTACGCCAACAGTTGCCACCACACTGCCTAAATTCGGAATCAAGCTAAATATACCGTCCCTGTACGAGTCGTGAGTTGGCTACGAAACTATCCTCGTTCCACCTTTTTTTTGTTGTTGTTTAACTTATTCACGGGAACATAGCCTGCCTTCATTTATCGAAGAAACACTGAATGCCCTCATTCTCTCTCAAACATCTTTGGCAAAAAATAAAAAATTGCTATCTGGAAATAAGACACCTCAAAACGTCACCATTTATGTGCGGATTTTGTTTTGGATGTCTCCCGAAATGCAATTTGATAAGTGATTAGCGTTCGTTCTCATACAGTTGAATGAAACGTATTATTTATTAGTGTTGAGGGTGTTTCGAAAACACCACACCGTGTTTTACATATACCGACATCGCTTATAATTCTTTCCAAAAAAAAAAGAGAAAATAATCAAGTGATGATTACATGGGGTTCTTTAAGGGCATTTTTCGTACATATTTCATGCTCTGAAATAAGACGCATTTTCACTTTTTTCACAGTTGGCTGCCTCGATTACCACAATTTTAATATGGTAACTGGAACTGTCAAACGGTGTACATGGACTATTTTGTTTTCAGTTTTTGGCCTCGAAGAAAGATAAAAAAACCTCTAAAATAGGGCACCTTTTCAACTTTTTTCTTTATAGACTTTTGGCTTTGAATTTAAAGGCCCGAATACTTAATCAGTTGAATGAGTCAATTGTAATATTCCACAAAGTAAGGTATGCAATTAGCATCAAATGAGGTCATTGGGGATTTAATAACAAAGGAAAGAAGGTGGGGGGAATATTACCTAACATTGTCCTTTATACAGTTTTTACTTCCTTAACAATTACCCTTAGTTAGTGTTATATAAAACTTCAGATATTACATTGCTTTCTATATGACATCTCAATATTTATCGTTCCTTCCTAAATGGTACTCGGTATATGTTAGTAAGTTCGTTTGATGGTGTACGGAATGTGTTGTTACTTGCTACATTCCTTCTTATATTTATTATTACTTGTTACATGACGCGTCTCAGTGTTTGCTGTTGTGTGCTACATAACGCCTTAACATTTCTGTTTATTATTTTTTATGTTATTACGTATCACCTCAGCATTTGTTGTTACTTGCTACAAATCACACCAGAATTGGTATTACTTGTTACATGACGCGTCTCAGTGTTTGCTGTTGTGTGCTACATAACACCTTAACATTTCTGTTTATTATTTTTTATGTTATTACGTATCACCTCAGCATTTGTTGTTACTTGCTACAAGTCACACCAGAATTGGTATTACATGTAACATGACTCCTCGGTATTTGTTGTTACTTGCTATAAGTCACACCAGAATTGGTATTACATATAACATGACTCCTCGGTATTTGTTGTTACGTGTTATAAGTCACATCAGCACTGATATTATATGTGACATGATTCCTCGGTATTTGTTGTTACGTGTTATAAGTCACATCAGCACTGATATTACATGTGACATGACTCCTCGGTATTTGTTGTTACGTGTTATAAGTCGCCCAAGAACTGATATTATATGTTACATGACTCTTCAGTAGTTTTTGTTACTATAGCTACTAGATAACTTAGCACTTCTTTAATTGAGCAATATGTGTTTGAATTACTTCCATAGAATAATATTGCACTTAACAACAAGAACCGAATTTATTATGAAAATTATACTATATTTGTTTACTGCCTATGTTCAGCGCAAGAAAATAGAAGTCTGAAGCGCCTTAGGACTCCAGTATAAATCCTTATTAGATACAACCTATCACAGTGAATAATTTGCAGTACAAATAGCTATTGTTTAATGAGGCAATGAAAAAAAAAAGTTAAGCCTGTGTATTTTCTAAACATTCAATTGTGAATAACCTGAAGGACAATCTATTTCTTACGTCAGAAATCAAACATATATATTTCAGTAAAATAACATAATTTCGGTAGGATAATCACTTCAAGTTAAATTTACTGCCTCAGTTTGGTATATATAATAAGGTATTCAACAAGAATAGCTTTCAAATATCTTCTATCTTCGGAATCATTGAGAGTACGTTAGCTTTTTAGCATATTATTAGCAGAGCCACTTTATTCACTATTCAGTAATATAGGTGAACATTCAAGGCTATCATTTGTAAAGGCTGTTTCTTTGAGACATTTTTAGTCAGATAGGATAAACACATATACACAAATTATGAGTTAGCGTAGGATCCCAGCTCATTGGGGTGGGGGTCGCCTGAGGTCAGTCTTATTTGACCCTCCCCTAAGTCTTTTGTAAAATGACACTCCTGCGTACATTCAAAAATAATTCTTATATCAAAATCTCCTAAACATAATAAGAATCACCTATCAACTTTGAAAGCAAGAAATACAAATCTTCGAACTTTTTCGTATCATAGCAAGGTTGGATTTGTTTAGTGCCTAAGACAGTTTCAGGAACTGAATCTTTGAAGTTCCGTTATTAATATATATTTTTCATTAATGTATCATTTCCCTACATTCAGAAGTGCATTCTTTTAGGCCTATGTTAGAATAACAGAAAGTTCTGTCTTGGTTGTTCTAATGTAAAGCTACACAATGAGCTATCAGAATTGTGTTCGTCCTGGAGGATCCCATCCCCCCGAATTTTAGCGTTATGAAGCTTACTGCTGAGCCAACGTGGTTCAACATAACAAAAAGAACAACTGATAACTCAATCTTTTTCGGAAAGAAGATTTCTCTGCTTTATTGGTTTATCAAGTAAACTCCTGACAAACAAGGTAACTCCATAAACGCAGAGGTTTTATAGTTTTATTGATTGTAAATAATTAGTGCTTATTAATTCACCGATTTTTTCCCCTAGTATTAGTATCATGACTGATAGTGACTATAATGTCACCATTGGATTAGCTATCAGATTTAGTGCGCGTTCTGGGAACATCAATCTATGAATGTTAAAGCTGACAGTAAGCATCTCAACTACTCGTCTTTGATAAAAACTAAACAACAGTTCTACAACATTACAGCTTTGTTTTCTTATTTCATTACCTCTCCCCCATAACTCAGCGATAAGTCTGAGGGCTTATTACGCTGAAAATCGGTTTCGTTAACCGCGTTGGGCAGAGCACAGATAGCTCATTGTGTGGCTTTAAACTTAACAAGAGACAAAATTTTATTTTATTTAGCGAACACACCCTTCTTGGTGAAAGATTCTCAAAGTTTTTATTTTTTCACACGGTATTTTATAGCTCCTTCTTTTTAAAGTAAATTACGTTTTATAAAAACATTTAACACTAGTGAAGATTAGCATGTCGCATTATTTAGTAACTATTTTCCTTTTAATATTCGTTGTACATATTTGTTACGAATACTGTCAGCAGGTTTTGGTTGATATAGTTGAAGTAAAAATATTATTAGGCCTAGATAGTTTCAGAAACGCATTGTAAGTATAATTCAAATGTAATAGAAAAACCGGGTAATTTTTAGACCGAGTTAACGTTAGAATTTACAAAAGATACGAATTACTCAAAATTTAAAGTTAGTAATGATTGGATAAAGTATTATTGGTTAACTTATGAGATATTTTAAAATTAGCTAAACTTGATGATAAGTTATTCTCAATTAGTAAGCCTGCGTTAAGGCAGTATTTACCGCTATAAGCTTATCAGTGAGTACTCGTGTATTACCTAACCATAATGCGATTTGTTGAATTTCACGCAAAGCTATACAAGGACTATCTAGTCATCCCTAGTCAAACTTGAAAATGCTTCTAACATAGTTGGAAGAAAATAAATTACTTTTATACGAAAATACTATTAAAGAAAAGCATGCTGCAAAGATACATAGACGGCTCAGGGGCAGCGGTAAGGGGAGCTTCCCCTGTAGCCCCCGCACCCAACAAAAAGTGGTTACTGTTAAAGCTGGCTCACTATGTACATTTCCCTCATCGGAAAGAGGCTGGGCGGCGCCCCTGTTAAAAAGGAACAGCAATAACATCAATACAGTCTAAGTAGATTCGATCAGTTACTTTTTATGTACTTAAAGCACAGCAGAATCCAGAAAGATAAGCCTCATTCACATTTTATTTCCCCTAAACTGACAAATAATTCATATTATCCAGGAGATGTATCTGAAATTCCATTTTGGAAAACGAAACTTCTTTAACATATGAAACAAATCAGTAATTATATATATATATATATGTGTGTGTGTGTGTGTTTATATAATGTCCAACTTTAAGTCGTATATTTAAGAGCAACTTTTTAAACAAAATATTTAAGAGCAGAACCTACCTCACGTGCTACTGAGATCAGTCAAATATATCACTGCTAGTTATCACAATGGTATTGTTTCTGTTCACACGTTGGCGGGAAAGATATCAAATGCGTTAAAATAATCTTTCCAACAAAAACAGGACTTATAACTCTGTATTTCTAGGTGACCTTTTTAAAACTGGACTGCTTCCAAGTTCCGGAGGCTTAAAGAAATACTACATTCTAGAAGCGCATCGTTCACGTAACATACATCTTGGTGTATTTCTTCGACAGGGTAGAACAAGTCATTTAGTAATCCAAGCTAATTAGACCTTTTCAACCTGAATCCTTGACATTATTGGATCATGTACAAAGACTATGAGGTGTTAAGATATTTTTTTGGTTGTATTCATTTTCACAAAAAATTAGTTTACCACTGAGGACAATTTTCGTCTAATTTAGAACTACGCAGAGAATTTGCTTAAGGTTTATACTTGTACATTATAAATTATTGACAGTAATTTTAGCTTTAGATGTTAATATTTAATGAATTAATTTATAATACCAACAAAAGATTTTCTTACAACTTATACCAATCAAAACACAACTAGTAAGAAAATCTTTATGTTAACCGTTAAGGGACACAAAATGATTATAAACTATGACACTCGATAAGTGATGTAAGATATGTAATTTCTGTAGATGTAAAATATTTACTTTTTGATGTTTGTATATATTCATGATAATGCTTATTATATAAGCACT